CCCGGGGAACCGCCGGGTTGGGGGACTGAGGTGCTGCCTCCAGGCTGGATGTGCCGGGCGGGTTCCGACACCCCCTTCCACTTCCACAGCAGCAACACCCAAGTGCTGGGAGCCAACCGCCCTGCGCTCGCCCTGCTGAGCTGGTTTGGCTGCTCCGGCAGCGCCCGGACGCCCATAAAACACCCTCTGTGCTGGGCTGGCAGCGGTGCCGGTGGGAATCTGCCCCTGCTTGGCAAGGGGTGCTTATGGTGGCAGGGAAGGGGGTCCCCCGGGCTCATGGGCACTGATCCCCACCCGCTGTGAACCAAGGGCTTGCAGAGGCAGACAGAAAATGCCAATCACATGAGTTACCAACGGGGCTTGTTCAGAAAAAGAAACAGGAGGTGCTTCTAAATGAAGCAACTGCTCAGCCAGAGGCTCCTGACAGGCTCCTGTCGCTCAGCTGTCCCTCTTATGCTTAAACAATGGCAGAAATAAACTTGCTAATTTAAAATAGAGAACTGAAATGAAGAATTAACTTATCAGCTGTCTCCATGGGGGGCAGGGGATGTTGCGCTCCAGTTAGTCAGACAAACAAATTCAAAATAACCAAAAGAAACAAATCAGCTTTACTGAAGGAGCCGGTTCATTTCTTAAATAAAAACAGAGACCACAATCAAGCCAGTCGAGTTTAACATCCTACAGAGGGAAAAGGGCAGACGTTTAGTAAGAGAGAGAAGTTGCGAGAACTTGTGGCCAAGGACTGGCTCTGGGGGCTGGTTCCTGGGTGACCTCCCCCCCCCAGCCGGGGGGAGGGCAGGGCAGCAGAGCGAGGCGGTTTTCGGGAGGGCACCAGTCAAACCAGAGAGGGAAGGTGCCTGGCCCTGAGCACAAGACGGTGCAGCCGACTTCATCCCGCTGCCTCATCTACGTGCTGGGAAGGAGCCTTTCCCAGGAAGGAGCTTCCCCCGTGCTGAGGTGCCAAGTCTGGCATTGGGATTCCCACAGCCGCGTCCCTACGTGTTGCTCCTCTCCTTTGACTTCTCACCTTTACTGTCCTGACGGGGAAGAGGAAAGAGAAGCAGAGGCTGAGGCAGCCCCACGCAGAGGGGGTCACCAGGGTCCTGCCACCAACACCCTCCATACCAGCTGCCACCGCCTGCCCCTGCCCCTGCTCGGGGCACAACCAGCCCCCCTCAGCTAACCTCTCCTCACAGTTACACATTTTTCCATCCCGAGGCCTTCCAAGGGGCCCCTTGATCAGACAACCTCGGGGTAGATCTGCACACGCTGCAGGTTTCCCAGCCCCTCTTGGTGCTGCCTCCCCCCGTGCAGGGAAGCAGCAGCACAGCCCTGCCCAGGCCGTTCCGGCTCGCTCCGCTCTCGGGTATGAACAAGGAAACCAAACACACACGTGGCACCCTGGTGTGTGCACACACAGCACGGGAGCAAGGACACTGCTCCCAGTGCAGGGAAAGGGCTCCCATCTCTGGAAAGCCTTCAAGTCTGCTGCCTCAATTATCTACTAAGGTCTCAACATTTATTCTTTCAGAGAAGTCACGGCCTCTGACGTCAGGGCTGGATTTTTCTCTCTTAAAAGTGTTTTGTTTTCTACCCTTAGTAAGTACATAAATAAAAAAGCAAGAGTCAACTTTGGACTTACTTTTTACGTGGGTTTAGTTTTAAAGTATTTAGAAACTCAAATTAACTGGAGCCCTGCTTACCACCTGCAACGAGAACCTGAGGTTTGGGACATGTCAAAGGTTAGACAGTTTGAGATTTCCTTGGAACAACGTATATTTCTGTTTTGGATGGGAGAGGGAGACTGCAGCATGGCACACACCCCAGGGGAACAGCATCACTCATGCTGAGGGGACGGTACCTCAGGAGGTGGTGGTTTGATAGTGACAGGCTGGGACGTCCTCCGAGGTGGAGAAGGCTTGGGCTGCACTTGCTGCTGGACAGTGTTGTAGTATGTCACCCCTCCGTACACCTGGGACTGGGCCTGTGTTCCCCAGAGAGCAGAAACATCAGTGCCTGTTGCTGCGGGGGCTGCACCCCCCGCAAGAGCCCCCCAGGCACATGACCAGGCTGTGCAAAGATGCCACCACTCAGCACCAAAGCTGAGCAGCCACAGGGGGATGGGGGGCTGTGCTCCCCAAAGCTACAAAACAGCAGCACCTACAGCTCCTGGGGGACCCCCAGCCTGGCCCTGGCCCTCCCCAGGTCTCCCCACTCTGGGCAGGCACAGACTGGGCTGCAGCTCATGGCCGATGGGCTCCTCTGCCCTGCAGCTCTGCCCTGTCTGAGCTGCTGCTTTTCTGCACAGACAAGGCAGATAACAATTCCCTTTCACACCAAGATCCCTCTGGCTGCCCCGGGGCTCAGGACCTGCTCCCAAAGCAGTGTGACTCCCTGGGGAGACAGCTGGGATTGGCCCAGGGCAGCAGGGAAGGTCAGGGAGGCTGCAGGGAGTGTGCACAGTGCTCATCTCTGGCCTGCCACTGCGTGTCAGCCGTGTGCTGCTCGGGTGGCCCATGCTGGGAGCACTGCCACGGGAACTTCCCCATCACCGTGCCCATGGAGGTGGGTCTCCTTGCTGCCCAGCCACTACTGCAGACACAGAGGTGAGAATGGAGCAGGAAGAGCCAGCTCTGTGCTGGCCTCACCACGGGCTTCCCTGGCCAGTGCCAAAGAACAGCACCAGCTGGCTGCCTGCCTCCTGCCTCATTCTCAAACAGAAGCAATTTTCAAGGTGTCCTTGGCCCAGCATGGACCTGGAGGGGATGTAATGGTCTACAGGCTCCTGGCAGGCTGTTCCCCTCCTCTGAAGGAGAAGATCCCAATTCGGAGATCCACCAATTTTACCCCCTAGCCCCTAAATCCAGGGTTGCTGCACAGCAGCCATGGGAGAAGTCCCTTTCAGTTACCCACTCCACACGGAGAGATGGAAAAGAGTAAACAACCTCCCCCCACAGAGCAGCCCAGCTGCCCCCCATCCTCCCCCAGCAAGCCTTGGAGCATGAACCCACACTCCCCAGGACCCCACCTGCTCCCCCCGATGGCTCCTGCTCAGGAAGGAGACACACAGCAGGGCTTACCTGGGTGTTGGAATAGAGATGAGGAGGGGGTGGAGGGGGTAGTGCTCCCGGGGTGTAGGGGTAGCCAGGATTCCCAAAATTCATGACTCCAGGAGGGGAGAAGTAAGTGGGAGCAAGCAGCTGCTGCGGCGGGGGCTGCCCAGGGGGCATGGAGACCGGCGGGGGGTAGAGCCCAGGGTTTGCCATGGGGGCTGGTGTCTGGTGGGGATGTAAACCTGGGAGTGACAAAGAGAAGCTGAATGTGACATCATGTGTACAGGTTGTCTGTCCCACAGAGGGCTGGGGCAATGCCAGCAGGGCTGTGCCCCCCCCGCAGCAGGAGGGAGGAGCCCCTGGCCCAAAGGCCTCTCCTGCAGCCACAACACCTCGGCTGCTGTGCTGGGCAGGGAGGAAGGGAAGCACGTCCCAGCAGAGGGGTGCACGGCCCCCTCCCCAGTGCTGGGGTCCCAGTTCTCCACAACCACACATGGCCCTGGTGAGAACATTCAGTTCAAGAAACTGTTTTTGTGGGGAGACAGAACATGCCAGTTCAACACCTCTCATTTCTTCTTTTCATTTTTGATCCACAAGCAGCAAGAACTGAAGAACCAGCCCAGCACAGCAGCTGGCACAGCCCAGCATCCCCTGATGGGAAGTGACTCAGCCAGGAGGGTCCACACAGGACCTGCAGCCATCAGCTGCAAAAACACTCAATGACCTCAGTCCTGCACTGGCTGCAAGGGCCAGAAACACCTATTTTTACTTTCATTGAAACGTCTGTACGTCCAGCCTCACGGCAGGAGGGAAACAGGTCTCTTCCATGTTGTAGGAACAGGGGGAAAATGGACTCCCCCACCAACAGAGGCTGCGTGAAACCAGCACCATCTGCTCCCCAGCACAGGCTGAGCCTCCCAGGCACCACCACAAGGCTGGTGGCAGCTGCCCCGTGCCCAGCTGGCTCCTCACCTGGATGAGGGAGGTGCATTTCCGGCTGCACAATCATCCCTTGGGGCGGCAGCGGGGCTGGGTTCTCACTGTGGGTGTAGATTGGTCCCTGGAATTGTACTGCAACACACAACAGTTGGTAAGGAAAAGCTCCACTGAATGTTATTCTACTGCAGCAAGTCACATGCAGTCTACCAGGCTCACAGGCTACAGCCTCCCAACAGAAAAGCCTCCTACTCCCTTTACAAAGCAGGAGAACACGTGGGGGAATTTCTTCTCCAACACTTTAAATGCTGGAGGAAATTCCTAATCCATGCTCAGTCTTGTTCTGTAATTCTCCCCACTCTTAAATCTCAGAGACATTGCTCTGATTTCAAGTTAATTTTAAATCCTAGTTCCCATGAAGAAAAGCAGTGACCTAAAGAGCACAGGGAGGTGGAAACACTGATTGTATTTCAGTGGGTTCAAACACTGACCAGGGAGGCTCAGAGCAGCTCTTGAACTACCACAGGAGATGATGCAGTGACTATTTACACAGGAAAGGGAAGACAAAGCCTCCGCATCTGCCCAGCCCTGACAGGAGGTGAGGGCTTCAGCTGCTCAGAGAGCTCACAGGGAGTCTGGAAGTGGAAGAGGAACACTCACGTGGGTCATAATAGTGCCCTTCCATGATGCTGATGTGCATGGGAGGTGCAGGCTCCGGCACCGGTGGTCGCTGCCGCTGGGATGAGTAGCGCTTCACGCGGCCCCCCTGCACTGCCTGGAAGAGTCCAAAGGCAGCAGGATCAGCAACCCCCTCTGGCCAGGGGGCACCCACCCACTCCCCCCATCCCCAGCCCTGCAAACCTCCACCTGGGTCACAGAGTAAAAACCATGACCAGCCACAGAAGGGACAGGGCCACACGGGGCTGCCACAGCCCAGACACAAATAACCGCGCTGCTGAAAGCAGGAGTCACCCCTGCACACAAAGAGCTTTACCATTTCCTCCATCCTGTTAAACTGAGGTGGTGGCCCAGTTCCCATGTGCATATGGTTAGGAATACCTGAGGAGGAAACAAACTGGTTATTATGGTTTGCATTGGTTGTCCATAAACAGCCACCTCATCCTGCTGGGAGGTGCCAGCAGCCTGGGGATCTTAAGGTATCACAAACACGCTCTTGCTTTCATGACAAGAAGCCTCCATCAACTTAATCTCTTAGGTTACAATTTTCAACATTTCCACACAAATTAGAAGCTGTTGTGCCACACTGTGATCACCCACGCTGCTCAACACCTTTTAAATCTTGCTGAAAAGCAATTAAAATCCTCAGCTCTAAGCCCAGGTGCTGATCTCAGCTCTGTTCCTGAAGAGACAAGGGGCCTCCTCAGAGCAGAAACAAGGATCCACGTGGGACTGGGAAAACCGGAGTTTAAGCCCTCTGTAGGGTGTAACCACTTTGATCCTGGGCTCCTTTTAATCCAAACAACAAAGTTACAGCAAGACCATTCAAACCACAGGGCCAAACTGATCACAGGAGATTCCAAAATGGGAAAATGGAGAAAACAGATGCTGGAAGCACCCACGGATAACTGGTACTGCAAACACACACCCAGGAATCCATGCTGGGCACCCAGAAGGACCTGCTGGCTGGCTCATCCAGCCATGTCCCTCCAGGAGTCAACTCCTAGATGGAACAAAGGGACAGCAGAACAGTCTGTCCTTCCGGACAGAAAGGGGTCTGCTGCCTGCATTCTAGAGCTGCCTCATGGTCAGTTTGTTAAGGTGTTTCATTTTTCAGCAGCAAAAAGCAAAAAGTACATAATATCAGTTGCAAATCACTTCTGAACTCTCCTACTTCGAGCACATTTTAACCTGCTCACTTGCCCCTGCAGTGGGGACCAAGGGTCTCCTCACACCAAGATGTTACCAGTCAGGTCAGTGCAAGACAACTGACGGTTTCATGACCTAAACTTCAAGAGATGCTTATGAAAGCAGAGAGTCTCTTTCTTCTCCTTGCTCCAGTTTTATTTCCCTCAGGAAGGACTCTATGACTCCCCAGAAGAGACTCTAATTCTGCAAAGAGATAATTATACCCAAATGACCTCTCACATGGATGCTCAACCAGAACTGTCCTCAGCACGGGGGTAACTCTGCCACATGCACCTCTCTCGCCGGCTGCTGCCAATGGAGCAGATTCCTCCTACCAGGCACAAATGGATTTGCTGATCCCAGTCAGGCCTCAGCTAGTGGCAATCAAATCCCAGTGCTAGGAAATAAGCTGATAAAGAGTGGAAATTCCCTCCTGCTCCTGAGCAGGGCATCACATGAACCCGATTATTTGTCACCTTTACCTGCCAGCAGAGCACAAGACCCCTTAACTGCCCTACTCCCGTGACAGCTGCTGGTCGCAGAGATCCAGCAAGTCCCTGCTGTCTGCTCCTCACACAGGCTTTCAGCTTCACTGAACCTCCCCCATTTTCAACACAAATCAGGACAGAAAGAGGGAAAGGATTTGTTTTATGTCCCTCCCGGCCTTAATTCAATTTACCTGCACTTGAATGTTTAATTTCCCCTCTTTCCTTTCTGTTTTGCCCTCTCTAACCATGTCCACAACCAGCATGGATCCCACCATGCTGGGGCTGCAGTGGGAAACCAAGAGGCTGCACCAACTTCCCCCCCACTTACCCCTCAGCTCCCGGGGCTGCATGAACTGCGACTGCCCCGGGGTCCAGTTCTGCTCGGTGAGATTCATCTGGGTCATCTCCTGCTCGAGTCCATCCAAGCTGGATTCTACTTGTGACTCCCAGTTACTGCTCTTGGCTGGCGGGGGGGACGTCTCTGCTTGCATAGGTTTTGGAGGCACAGGAGCCAGCCCTTCCGAGGCGGGAACTTCATCTGCCAGCTTCCCCGTGTCCCCAGCTTTGATTCTGGTCCTTCTTGCCCGGGAATAAGATTTCTTTTCAACTGGTCTGTCTGGTGGTGGTGGTGCAGCATCGGCAGCTGCAGCTTGGTTTTCCAGAGCGACCTCCTCCTTGGCAGGGCTGCTGTGGACATGAGCTGCTTCCATCTCGGGGGACTGGTCTCTGGATGGGGTTTGCTCCGCACGTTTTCCTCGGTAGCTGCTCTCCTGCTTGGCCTGCTCGCCATTCCGAGAGAGATGCTGGCCACTGGCTTCTGCAGCACGGTAGCCTGGACGGGTCTCCTTGTAGCCCCCCATCCTCGGGTAGTTGCGAGGTGGGGGCATCCTCCCTGTTCCCGCGGAGCTCCGGCTGGTGAAGGTTCGCGGGGCAGCCGAGGTGCTGTCTGCACCTTGGTGCCTTGGGGGCTTATTTGGCCTTTCGTTGGACCAGTTTGGGTCTCGCTGAGGGGGACTCCCAAATCTGAGGGAGGAAAACAGTGCAAAGGACTGGGAAGAAATCCCTGGGTGAGAGATGCTGCTGTGCCAAGGAACCCCTTCTCCAGGATGCAGCATCCTGAGCTCCCAGGACCAAGATCCTACCCTGAAGCCAAAGCCATTTTTGGGAGAGAGAGAGGGGTGTTTCCCATTCGGGGCTTCAGACCAGTGTCCCTCCAGGATGGGCCAGGCTCTAGTCTAGACTTTGCCGCTCACCTTGGTTTGCGCATCCTCCTCGGCTTGATGTCATCGGGGTTGTGAGCTGACCTGATGTCGTAGCCATAGAGAGCAATCAGCTCCTGCCTTGTCTTGGGGGCCTGCTCGTCCTCCCGGAATTTGTCGTGTTCCCAGCGGCCCTCGTCCTTCCACAGCTTCCGCTGACGACCCTTCGGCCTGGAACAGCAACACGGGGAGGACCAAGAGGTGGTTGTGAAGCAGAGGCAGCTCCAACCAGCCCCACACGCAGCCACCCAGCACTTCTAGGGCAGGGTGTGCACAGGAGACACTGTCTCTTCTTCCTCCCACTCCTCCTGCCCAGCAGCTGCTGCTCTCAGCACAAAGGGTCCCTGCCGGCCGGCAAGAGGCTTTTCTTGTGTTTTTTTTTCTGCATCACCCTCGGTTTTCCCTTCAAAACACGGAGCCAAAATGTCCTGGCAGGACATTGCAAGCAGGCAACTGAAGCAGAGACCTTCCCAGAGCTGCACACTGAGGTACCGAGCTGTGCTGCCAAACGAGGCCCAGGAGCCAGCCCCCCACCCCAGAGGGGCAGGGGACACCCACATACCTGACCTCCTCCTCCTGCGTCTGCCCGCGCAGGTCATGCTCAAAGAAGAGCCCTTTCCGTGGGATGTAGGCTGGGTTCTTCCGGTCCTCGTCATCGTCCAGGTGCTTGGGAACTTTTTTCCCAACTTTATTCTCAACAGGTTCAGTGCTCTCCTGTCAAAATCAGCCAGCTCTCACCACTGCAGCAGTCCCTCTGCCACAAGCCCCCCATGGTTCAGGGAACACATGTCTTAACACCTACCTGGCCATCCCCACTCTGCCTCTCCCCGGTCACAGCACCTTTGGGGTCAGGTTTCTCATCCCCTTTCTCTGCTTTTGCTGCTGACTCACAGGAACCATTACTATCCTGCTTCAGTTCCACTTTGGCACTTTCTTCCTCACTGTAATCCTCTTCCTGCACCTGAAAGAGACTCAGTTACTCAAACAGGCCCCCTTAGCAGCAGGTCCTCCAGGAATTTTCCCACACATCTGTCCCCAAATCTGGAGTTAGATCCCTATTCCAGCTGTTAGAGACCCAACTCTCTCATAGCAGAGGATTAGCTCTCCAGGTCCTTCCTATCCCTATATTTGTATAGAATAAACAAAGACTAAACCTAACACTTTTCCCCACCAACATCCACCAGTTGGGCTTTCCAGAGCCAGGACCAGTTCCCCCACAAAGCCACAGCCTCCGAAAGAAAAGGGGACACACACAGCAGGACCAGGACCAGCTCTCTCACAAAGCCACAAACGTCCCTTCCTTCCCACACCAAGGGCCCGGATCCAGCCAGTGCTGCGTTCCCAAATTCCCTGGAGTTACTCAGCTGACTCACTCCCAGCACTCTGCTCACAGGAGCGTGACCTCGTTTCACCCTCCAGGAGCCCAAGCCTTGCTGAGGCTGGAGCTGACACTAAAAATAGCTCCGTGTCATTAACAAAAAGACTGCTCTATTTTTCTCTTTCAACACAGCGTATTTGCACATCAACTGCTCCTTTTGTTTACGTTGGGGAAACCCAGACATGGCATTATTTTTAGGCACAGGAACAGAGTCATCCTGGCATGTCAGTGATGCAACACCCCCCTGCTCCAGCAGCCCAGGGAGCACCAGAGCTGCCCAGCCTCCAGGGAGCCTCGGCGCAGCGTTCCAGGCTGGAAAAGCTGCAGCACAGTCAACACTGGGAGCTGCCCCCACCCTCCCCACGCTGCCTTCCTCGTTAATGGCAGTGATTAATTCACAAATTAACAGCCCCTGTGAGCTTCAATGTCATCTGCCTCGCTGTTTTGTGTTTTCTTGTAACTGCTGCCCCACCTCAAGATCCCCAAAACTGTCTCCAGAGAAGGGTTTTCAGCAGAAAACCTTAACTGGAATCATTAGAAACCAAAACTTCTCTAAACTTCCTGGAGATGTTAAATTTATGGTTCTGAACTAAAAATCCAGGGAAACTCCAGCCAAAGGTTCCCTTCCTGGCACAGGCAAGGGGCCTTGGTACACACAAGGGGGGATTTTCTCAGTGCAGAACAGCCAGCACTTGCAGGGTGTTACCCCTCCAGCTGCAGAAGACAGGGGTGCTGCCTGGGAAGCTGCCAACATAGCACTTAGTTTTTAAATTTTAACTAATTAAAACCCAACAAGCTTCCTTCCACACCCTTCTGGGCCATGGCAAATCCAACTGCCAGTGTCCACAGGCAGCTCCAGGATTGTTCACCACAGAACTGCCCGGCCAGGGGCTCAGAACACAGAGCATGCAGCACTGGGATCACTCCCAGTCTCCACTCGGCTGGTGGGAAGAGGACAAGCTGGTGTCTGCAGAACAAGGTCATCACTGCAGCAGGGGCAGGGAACCAAGGACACAAACTGGGTTTTGTGCTAAAATTATGCAAGACAGAGCCACTCAGCAGAACCCTCTGAACAGTAGGACAGACACTCCTCTTACCTCCGAGTCTCCTGTGCTTTCATAATCCGAGAGTACAGCTGTGGGGGAGTGAAAAGAGTTTGGAGTCAGGGCAGGAACAGAAGCAGCTTCTCTGAGCTGCAGGAGGGCCTGGGCAAAGGGCCCCCGGGCAGCCCCTGAGCAGCTCCAAAGCCTCCCTGAGGAGCAGCATTGCTGGCTCACACAGGAGGCAGCAAGGGCAAGTCTGGGGTGAGCTGTCCCTGCTCTGCACGTTTGCCCACTATTAATTGGGATGACAACAACTACAGGAGAACCAGGAAAGGAATTTTGTCTGGTTTTCACTTTCTGCACACCAGCAGCCCTCACAGGGCCAGACAGAGTAGTTACTCACCATCTCCTTCAATGCCATCCTCACTTTCCTGCAGAGAGGGAGAAGAAGGTGTGTTAGCACAGCTGAAGGGCAGCAGCCATGTCCCTGCAGCATCCTACAATCCCAGACACAACGATGACAAGGTTTGGCCCTGGTCCTATTGCAGCTCCCCTTAGAAGCTCAGCTTCAGTGACCAAGAAAGAAGAAACGTCAGGGCTGCTCCCAACATTCCCTAAGATCCCTCCAGGCTGAGCTGCTCTGGGGAAAGGCAGCTCGAGGGAAAACTGTGTGAAGTGCTGGCAGTCTTGGGAGGGAAAAGAGTGACATGGACAGACATCTCAGGAAGGGAGACCCTAACAGCTGCCTCGGGGAAGGACAAGAGGATTACTTGAAGCAGGAGCCCAGGAATAACAAGCAGAAGCCAAGCAGGAGTGAGCTCAGGCAGACATCTGCTAGAGACTCTGGCGACAGAAACACGACCCTGCAGAGAGAAGCTGCTGGATGAAGGGGAACAGCTCAGAGAAGGGAAAGTTTCTAGTCAAAGGACAGACTGAAGGAGCCACTCAGTAAAAACAACCTCAGATCAAAAATAAAACCAGTCAGCACGTTGACAAGAGGAGCCCAAACTCTGAAACGGATGAGCAGGAATACACTGTGGTTTGGGAGGAATTTGAACAAACCAGCACCACAAACACAGGGCAGGACAAAATTGCACCCAGCTGGAAACTGCCAGAGAAGACAGACTGCCCAGCGGGGCGGGGGGACCCGCTCCCCAGGCACCCCAAAAAAGGTTTTCAGTGACCACACTTTAAAAAGGGTGGTGAGAATTGGGAAAGATGAGACCTGCCCTCCAGGCTGAGGGACCCCAGCAGGCAGCCAGGACACGGGGGGAACCCCCTG